CTTTTACTTTTCATCGTCTTTTAGTCCATTGTTGATAACCTTAATATGTCTTTTTAATTGTTCGTGGAAATCATTCAGACAGTGTTCGTTTATTCATTGTCCGTTCATTCATGGATCTGATTTGTGCACGGATGAAAGGTTTTAGACGTAACATCATTTTCCATTCCCCCTGAGTAAGCGTTATACCTTTTATTGTTTGTTTCTCATTCAGAAACTGTCTGAAGTCAAGTACGGTGCGATTTTCGCTAGGACAAACGACAGTTCGTGTTGAATAGGATAAGACAAACTTAGTGTTCGAGCACTGTGAAGAAGCGTTGATAGACTGTAGACTGAGGGTTGGTTCAATAGGAGGGTCGTCAAAAAATAGTTCAATGTCTATTTGCTGTGAAGTTTTATTTTTCAAATTCGAAATAGTAACCGCATTAACGACAGTCAAAATGGTGATTGCTAACATCAGTAAACCAACCAGAGTTCCGACTACAGCGTCCTCCCTGTGAAAGGAAGTAGAGACATATTTTATAAAACTATACTATTTTTTATTAATTTATTTTAGTGAACATGATTGATGGTTTTGGTTAAATCAGATTTTTTCCATCCAAAATTGAAAGGTCCGTCTGTATTTTGTAAGACAAAAAAATAAATATATTTCCTCGCAGTCGACTGTGATGATCAAATGGTGAATGAACTCGTACATTCTCCTCTTCGTCTCGATGATGGCATTCTACTTATTCATTAAGTAGCTATATCAAAGATCGAGGACTGTTTTGTTCTTTCACGATATGGTGACATTCCGTTTGATGCTGCTCATTCTAGTATACATCTGAAGATATCAACAACGACTACATTCCACATAGCTGGCATTCCTAAAGAATTCCAAATTTCTTCACAAAAGGGATGACATTCCATTTGATGATGATCATTCTAGTATACATCTGAAGAATTCTACCCCGACTACATTCCACATAGCTAGCATTCCTAAAGAATTCCACATAGCTGGCATTCCTAAAGCATTGCACATAGCTGGCATTCCTAAAGAATTCCTCAACTATGACATTTTAACAAAGGCCGCATTCTTGACATTCTTAACAAAGGCCACATTCTTGACATTCTTAACATGCATGCATAAAGACGCCGTTCTCATTGTGACGTCATGCATGTCTATTAGCATAACAATAGGCTCATGAATATTCATAGGGCACCTTCCACGGAAGGTGTTGAAGGTATTACTTTTATACTACTTACAACACACGAATAACTGTCAAACGAGTTTGGGTACCCCTTGTGTTCAGGCAAGTTATTTAGTTCAATAGTTTTGTATTAAAATCCTTTTCAATTTGTTTTCACTATTTTCCCTAATCCATGCATGTTTATGTTGCTACATCTTATTGCTCATGTTCCCCAGTATTATAAAATTCTTTAATGTTTCTCCTTCCTAACCTAACGTTGTAACATTTCAGATCATTACCATCATCTAATACACAAGAGATGATACCAAGACATATTTTGTTCGGTTTTATGGTCTATACGCCCTTTCAATTGATTTTATTAGTCTTTAAATCTTATGTCTAGTACATATTTTCACAATTTTTTAAACAGGGCTGTTAGCTGATATCCGGAATGTTACATCCACAACGTACCAATGAGAATATGGGAATTATCATAAGAAGGCTGGTGCGTTTTTCTCAACTGTTACCATTTTCATACCAAAAGTGGCAATGCATTTAAAAGTTGCTTTAGTGTCATAATATTTACACAAGTTTTCCCCAATCGCCTATAAACATAATTCCCATTGATCAGTTCGACACCGCATATAATTAAATAATTATTTCGAGATTTCGTTAGAATGTGAGATATTCAGCCAAACGTTATGCAATGAAAGACGAATCGGGGGTTTTTTTCCATTAAAATGCGCGCACGTGTATCTGTATATTGCATACCTCGTGTCACTGAATTTCCGAGTGTGATGTATCAACGAGACATAAAATTGGAAATGAAAAAGAAACTAACTAAACTTTAATGTGTTGGAAAACAACGCCAATGAATCGGTGTACAAGCGCATGAATTAGTATGATAAACTGTCAAAACCTTTTTAGAGGTAAGGCCGGTGTCATTAAAGATCGTTGCAATATGTAAAAAAGGTGAAATTTGTACAACTTCTGTAAAGGAAACATTCTGCTTAGAACTGTCAGTGAACCTTCCATTTTGTTCAAGATGTCACCGGAAGTAAAGTCATGCGTAAACATTGCTGTACATATTTGGTATGTTCAATTTGGCGAAGGTCCGGTGAATATAAGTGCACACACTCATTCTAACTTGTTATTTACAGTTTCATTCATAATGTAGTTTTTGCACATCATATGAATGTTTTGTATCAGAGTTCATACTTAACAATAATGATATATTACTATACTTTCTCATACCAAAAGCAACACATTATATGAACCTTCTAATGTTTCTATGTACGTTGTTTACAGAATAGGAAAAAATACAATATCATCAGCAAAGAGAAGGAGCATTATGTCCATTATTTCTTGTGTTACAAATATCCAATGTTGACAACTATTTTGCAGCTCACTCATAAAGTTCGTTTATGAAAAATATAAACAACAACGGGCTTAAAACACAACCTTGTCGTACACCGGAGGCTGTTGTAAAGCAGTCCGTACATTCATTATTGACCTTTATACATGCGCTGACTGATGCATACATGTTTTTTTAAGAGTACAGACATTTTACCATGACATCCCATAGTAATAAGTAAATACATCATATTTTTCCTATTTACATAGTCAAAAGCTTTTTTAAAGTCAATAAATACACAATATAAACGACCTCTGGTTTTACACAAATATTTAGAACAAAGAGCTTGTAAAACAAACAAGTTATCAACAGTAGAGTAGTTTGGTCGGAACCCTGCTTGAGACTCGGACAGTAAATAATTTACTTCCATCCATATTCTCAAACGTTTTTCTATGATTGACGTGAAGATTTTTCCCATAACATTTAGCAGTTAAATGCTTCTATAAGTACTTGGTTTACCAACTGACCCAGATATATATAATGAAATAATCACACTTATATTCCAAGATTCTGGAAATACACCCATGTCTAAAATCTTATTGTATAATAGCTTCAAGTATGGTGCAAAGATATTCGATGGTAGTTTCAAGAATTCAGGGAGTATCCCATCTTCACCTGCGGACTTGCCCGTATTCAGGTTATTGATAGCGTCCGTGACCTCTCTTTCAGTGATCTCACCTGACAGGAGCTCATTCGAAATCATTGCAGTTATCACATGTATGAGAGAGCAGAAACTCCTCCACAACACAATCAAACTCATTATTATCAATTCCTTGTTAGGGATTAAGAAGATCTCTAAAGTAAATCAGCCAGCCACTTGAAGATACTAAACAACAAAAGTTCCTGTGACACCAATATTTTAGTGTATTTTTCAATATTGTAGTACATGTATGGAATCAAGTCACAAAAACGCAACTGCTACAGAAAAGCATGCATTCCGTGCAAAAGTTGACTTTTATGCACGCCCCATGCATTTCACTACCCAAGATTGCATATAAAAACATGTGCGTCAACGGGATTCCATATGCACTGTTTAGCATCGTGCTGACAACAACCACTCAGAAAGAAAACAAAATTACGCAATTATTCAACATTATCAAATGCCACGCCTGTCCAAAAAATGAGCGTCTGCGAGTCATTGGTAAGCTTGAAGCAGGATCCAGTGAACGTGATGTTGCAAGACAATTTAACGTCTACATAAACACCATTTGGTGTTATGGCAACGTTGGCAACAGACGAATGCAGTCAGAGACCATCCTCGGAGTGGCACGCCACGCGTAACCAATAATCGACAAGACAACTGGATTCGATCAACACACCTACGAAATCAATTCCAGCCACCAAATGTGACTGCAAGAAGTATCCCTGGCCTTCGACGAATATCTTCACAAACCTTACGTCGTCGCCTCAGATGTGCAGGGATTGTCGCTAGACGTCCCATTTTGGCAGGAAACCACCGTCTACAGTGGTGCAGACAGCGTCTACGCTGGACGGCAATGCAGTGGGGACAAGCTCTATTCACTGACGAGTCGAGGTGAACGTCGAGGTGAACGTTACGTCAATCGGTGTGTCATGGAGGAAGATCGGTTCGGGACCGGCAGCGTTATGGTATGGGGTGGGATTAAAGCAAAACAAAGGACCCATTTGATAGTGGTAGAGGGAAATCTCAATGGACAGCGCTACCGCGACAAGATCATCGGCCCTGTTGTTCTACCATTTTTGCGTCGTCATGGCCCAGGCATTACCTTTCAACATGACAACGCCCGGCCTCATATTGCTCGACTTGCTTGATTCCCTTCAACAAAACAACGTGAATGTTATCCCTGGCCGGCTCGCTCCCCTGATCTCTCACCAATCGAACACACGTGGGATGAGATGGATCGGCGCCTTCGACGTCAACCACGTGTTCCACAGACACTCCAGGAACTTCGAAACATGCTCCAGCAGATATGGACAGCTATCCCACAGGACCTTGTGCGAGGCCTGGTCCATTCCATGAGACGAAGATATGTTGCTTGCATCGCAACCAGAGGTGGACACACACGCTATTGATTTGTAAATTGACATTTTGGCATGTTCATGTTTATTTATGAAATAACGCATTTTCTGAAGTCAGTATGGCACATTAAAACCATTTGAACACTTACAGGAGTCTTTTATCTGTTGCAAACCGAAATTGTTTCAGATTTGGATAAAAACATAACTTTGCATTAAATCTTATTCAATGTCACAGGAACTTTTGTTGTTCAGTATATTATATGGATATACATGTGTATAAACAAGTGTAAAATTGAACCTGTATTTGATAGGACAGGGTAAAATTGAACCTATACTTGACATGGGCTCAAGTATTGATATGTTGGAAAACCATACAGTTTCAGTCCGAATGTAGCATTTTTATATGAATACTTTGTTCACAGCGCCATGGAGTCTCACATGTTTGGGAAATGGGATTACACAGTGTTTGGTGTCATGGTGGCCGTCTCGGTGAGTACTGGCATATACCACGCCATAGTCGGCAGACATGATAGACTGGAGGAGTACTTCCTGGCTGGACGCGCTATGTCCTTCTTACCCATAGCGTTGTCGATGCTGGCTTCGTTCACGTCAATCATTTCCATGCTTGGAGCATCAGGAGAGGCGTATCGTAATGGCATCATGTGGGTTCTCAATGAAGTAGCGCACTCTGTGGGAAAACTTATAGACATGTGCCTCCTGCTGACCCTTCTGAAGAGACTGAACTTATCAAGCCCATTTCAGGTAGTGTTGGTTTCATTTTCTCAATGACCATAAACAGTCAGTCGACAGGGGGAAGCGTCGTGTGTAGTGCATGCATTTGTCTGGTAAAGGGGAGGTTATATTTCGACTTCATATCCCACCATATTGTTACTGTAACAGCAAAATTATGGGTGTTAGTTGCTCCTCTCAAAGTTTGTCTGAAATTATAATTGGTTATTAATCATTTCTATTTGTACTGGCATTTGACCATAATCTGTTCAAGATTACTTGTGTTGTGTTTGAATCTCTGCCAAAAGCCAAGCCCATTATACGCTTCCGACTGTATCACACATTTCAAAATTTGACGCATCAGTGACACAAATGATGTTCAGTACTATTCCTAATTTTGACTTGTGCTAAATGCCCCCTTGTTTGTTCAACGTTTCGTTGAATATGGATGTCTGCCAAACACCTTTATATTATCTTAGATGCACAACTGACCCAGCTTTTAGCAGATATTTTGTAGAAATGATTTCTTCACTTTTATTTTTGGTGAATGCACAAATGTTATATTCTGTCCATTAGATGTTATTTTAAAATAAAGACACGTCTCTATTATTACAATGCATTTATTTCTATGATATCGAGTAAACAATCAGTAAAAACATGTGTCAAAATATAAAAATTATGATAAAAGTAGTTATACATTGTACATGTTGTCAAATGAAAGGATCCCACTTTCAGTAAGTTTTTTTTATTGTTAATTTCTTATTATGAAAACAAAACGCCCGACTAATACTCTACGTAAAATCTATGGGTTTGCCAAACACCTGTAATAATTATCACAAGTGTACCCTAGTACGTGTCATGTGATACACAGGTAATGTTTTTTGGTCTCGAGAACAAACATTTTTAGACCAAAAATCTTAATCTTTTCAGTACTTAGAAGGATATACAAATTATATTTTTGAAACAGATTTTCATTGTTCTTGTCTTTTCCAGTATATCGAGGGTCGCTTCAAGTCCAGACTTCTCACCCTCATTGTGACGGTGGCGTCTTGTGTACAAAATGTAAGACACCTGTGAAGATCAACAGTTTGACCTCTGACTAAAATCATCTTCGTGAAGCCAAGGACAGTTATTTATAAGTTAATGTCTAGACATAGTATCATATGTATTTAAAGACAGTTTGTGAACACACAATGCCATTTAGAAAGTGGTCAAATGTAACAAATGTTATATTTGGAATAACACTTTCTTAGTAAAGTACAGATTCTCGTACTTTTTTTGGGTTGAGTCCCGTCCGGGATACGAACCCACACTTGCCAGAGGCAAGCTAATCGCCAGCACACAAAGTCAGCGATCTAACCCACTCAGCCACCGAGGTTTCCACAAAAATGAAAGTCCGACAACTGGTAGTCTAGATCACGTACTTTGAGTACCCCTCTGACAAGTGTAAATTGGCACGGCTCCAAAGGCCGAAAGCTATGAATACAAAATGCCATTTAGAAAGTGGTCAAATGTAACAAATGTTCCCGCCAGATTCAAACATTACTTCCCTGATTACGGTAAAACACAGTTCGAAAAATGCTCGTTAGAAATGAAACCCCAAGATATGAAAGTTGAACCGAGGCGAGCGTGAAAAAAAACAGGCGAGCGAGCCTGCACGTTTGCTGTTTCATTCATTCTCGGCCTTCGGTTTCAAAGGGTAGTTTGGACAATGAATATGCATGAAATTTGCTCAATGTCCTGTGCATGATGATACACGTGAGCAGAAAGGGAATTCCCTCGACTGTAGTATAGGGATTCCCCGACCTTCGGCAGTAATAAAAGTGGTGCGCTTCGGTGGGCGTGGCTTCATTTTTTACATTCATTTGGCGGCAAAATAAAGTATAGGTCGAGGTCCATGATAGATAAAAAAAATAAAAAGAAGAGGTTTTGTTGTGAATTATAATATACACAATTTTTAAACTTATCCTATCTCACACTATGCATCTCTCTTTCTTCTTTCGATTCTGAGTGGAAACGTATCTGAAATAAAAGTTTCCAGCTTCTAAAGTTAATTAACCCTGTCATACCTCACATCGTCACGGTCACCTCCCAGATCTGGGTCATGCGCGCTATGCATGCTGGTTGACCTTCTTGCACTGATCACGTGTCTATCCCAGTCAACTCATTCTCTTTCAAATCGCCACGCAGTGGTGACGTATTGTTATTACAGGAATCCATTTTGGGTTTTTCTTTTCACTTGCAAGCGATCTTCATATTTTTGTCGTCTAATTGCCTGCAATTTTACTTATATCCCTGTTTGGGATAGTTATTCATCATAATGGACGAGCATTCCACACGGAGACCTGTCTGCACTTTGTGCCGACGTGTTTTCTCTCCGTCTGACCCTCATGCCCAATGTTCGGATTGTCGTGGATTATGCAGTTTTGTAGAGCGTTGCGAGCTCTGCTCCGATCTACCAGATGAATCCTTCAAACTGTACTTGCATAAATGTCGGCGTCGGGTGTCAGATCTTCTCTCTAAGACTAAAGGAAAAATCCACGAAAGCCAAGAAAACACCGGTCAAGAAAGCGAGATCGGCCCGATCACCCTCACAGGCGTGCCAGAATACTAGGGATCAAACTGGTCCCATGATCTCGTTAGACGATGAGGGGGTCTCTGACTCTTTTCTCACAGACGACATGTCAAAGGTATCCACGAATCCACCTTCAAAGTCGAACCTACCCTCCACATCCCGAGACTCGGACATTCGACGAGTCCTCTCGTTAGACACGAGTGTGGATGATCGGCTTACGTCAGCCAACGTATCCAACCCGACCGAGGTTCGTACTTTCGACTCGTCGTGTTCTACGACTAACATGGAGCTCGCTCCTGTTTTACCTTCAGGGTACACATGGTACTGGTACCTCGGTCGACCCTATAAGTTTGGTCCGTCGTTCGAAATCTCCCATACGACGATCTTCGCAGGATCGATCCTCTCAAGACCAGGAGTCGTATGACAACTCATCGGATCAAGGTTCACGAACCTCCCATTCCCGAGAGGATTCACAAGACGATAGACATTCGTCCCGGGATCGACTAGCATCGACAGTCAGTGCACTTTATTCAGTGCAATCATCGGGGGATCGGCATTCAGACTGGGACCAACGGACTTCTCACCCTCGACACCGAGATGATTCACCGAACATCCAACCATCTAAGGTTCCTCGTACTTCCGAACCTCGAACCTCCGAACACTGAACCTCCGAACACCGAACCTCCGAACTTGGACCCCCGAACCTCCGAACCTCCGAACCTCGAACCTACGAACATCGGGCCTCCGAACCTCGATCCTCCGAACTTCGAACCTCCAAACCTCGAACCTCCGAACCTCGAACCTCCGAACCTCGAACCTCCGAACCTCGAACCTCCGAACCTCATCGAACCTCCGAACATAACCGACCCTCCGAACCTCGTCAAACATCCGAACCTCGTCGAACATTCGAACATCGTCGAACCTCCGAACGTCGCTGTACTCCCGAGGTGCGACAGTCACGTTCGAATCGTACATCTTCGGACAAACAAAAGAGATTCGAGCCTCGTCGAACCTCTGAGGTTCAACGAACATCATCGAACCGAACTTCGAAGGACATACGGACTCCTAAGTATCGACACACTTCAAAGGAGGTTCAACGGGACACGAGAGTTCATAAAACCTCAAAGGAACAGAGACATTCGAGAGACTCGAATATGCGACGTTCACCTACAGATCGTTACTCGTCTTATGACAGGCGAGCGGATTATCGCTCATCCCCTTATCATGTCTCACGAAGAGACTATTCAGACCCATCACGTCTAGGCTCGGAGGATGAACGCTACAACGAGTCTATTAGCCATTCATCCTACATGTCTCGATCTTCTCCTTAACTCACCCATCTGGAGTTTCGACTAAGAGATTACCCTCACACTTTTGATTTTCATCAAAGTGGTGATTACCCATGGAACACTACTTCATATAGTGCCTACGCACATGAGTTGGAACGACGCCCACACTACAGGGATCCCCACCCTCCATGGCATGGGTATCCTCATGATCCAGATTACAGACCTTATCGGTCAAGCTACATTTCCTCTTCTCATCATGAGGATTCTCCTCGGCGACATAGAGATAGACCACTCAGATCAGCTACCGTTAGTAGATGTCCTTCACCTAAAGATAGGCAGAGTTCTACTTCACCTACTCGTCGTACCGGCTCCCCATCGCCACCTCCGGTTCGACGCCCTCCTGTTTCCTCAGAATCACAGACTCCTGCAACATCACAAGCTCCATCACAAGCTATCCCTACATCATGGATCCCTAGCGAACTTTCTGCTATTCCAGCAGAACAGATTCGTTCTCTGTTACAGGCTGTAACAGCAGTATGTCTTCCCCAACAGGCACCTGCTGTACCAACTACGGTTCCTCTATCTGCATCGACACCCACTACATCCCTTTCAGTGGATCAACCACCAGAATCAGAGTCATCAGACCACTATACCTTCCCAGCTTCGTCTTCTGGGAGCTTCGACATAGCGGATCCGATCACTGTACTTATCTGGATAGCAGATAAGTTACAATTGTTAAAAAGCACTTCAACGGAGGACTCTTTATCATCATTTGTTGTGCCTTCAGCCTCGTCGCCGAACATCACACTCCCTCCGAGACCAGTCCTACAGGATATGGCCACCAATTTAGACAAAGCATTTGGATCCTTTCGCCGTCTTCGTGATCGGCTTCAATCTCCACGCTTTGTATTGGCGGATGCAGGGACTCATGGCTTGTCTACGATTTCTCCGGAACTAGATGGTGACATCGCAACATTAGCTCCTAAGCGTCCGTACTCAGCTTCTTCAGTGGATGACAGGGACCTCGTTCACCTCGACACCACTGTTCGAAGGACCCTCCCGTTGGTCTCCACTATTTTATCAGCAACTGAAGCACTTTCGTCGGCTCTAGCTCATGCATCTTCCTCAGAAGAATCCTGTATTCGAGGTGCTGTGACCCTCATCCAGGATAAAACGACAGCTATACTAGACCTCCTTGCTCACCATGCGGGATCTATCACTTCTCTTCGTAGACGGGGGGTGTTACAACATTGCTCATGGGATGATCAATTCAAGAACAGGCTGTACCAAATGCCATGGTCAACACCCTCCCTTTTTGCTGAGCGCATACAGGAGGTCGCCCATGACGTCCAAAGAGACACTTCCCTGCAAGTCACTGTTGACTTACTTCGTCTCCAGAAAAATCAACTGGAAGAACAAAGGAAAGACCGAAGACGACCAACCTTTACTCCTTCTCAACAAGACCTTAGAGAAGTTTTGAGTAATAGGTCTGCTTCTTTTCGTGGCCGTGGCCGAGCACGCCAACATCAGCGAGGAGGGAAATCAGGCGGACGCACCGTCTCCTTTTCAGGGACTAAAGGAAACACTAACTCTCCTAAGCCAGGAGACACTAACCACAAATGACTCACTACAACAGCAGGACGACCGGGACCTTCCGACTCCAGCCATTCCGATTTTCACGTCTCCTGTAGGCGGAAGACTAGGCACGTTCGCTTTAAACTGGACCATCCTAGACGACCCATATGTGTCTCGTCTCCTACAAACAGGTTATCCTCTACCTCTTGCCACCACACCTCCGACGACGTGCAAACTGCCTCAACATCTGTATCCAGCCAAACAACTTCCAGTTCTCATAGACACCATAAACACGTTACTTGTAAAGAACGCAATAGAGTGTCTGGGCACTCAGCCAATGACACCAGGGTTCTATTCTCCAATTTTTCTGGTTCCCAAGAAAAACAGTCCTCAACTACGTCTCATCTTCAACATGAAAACCTTCAACCAGCTATACCTAGAGACTCCTCCACACTTTCGCATGACATCAATCGCTCTACTACGAACGATTATTCATCCCGGCGACTTCATGATCAGCCTAGATATACAAGACGCGTACTTACACGTCCCTATCCTGCCAGAGCACCGCCATTTTCTTCGGTTTGTGTTCCTAGGCCAACACTACCAATGGCGAGTGCTCCCAT